GGCCAATAGCCACTGATGGACCTCTGCTCCGTATGCTTATCTAATTCCCTCTTGAAGCCGTCCATGCTTGTAGCCGCCACCACCTCCTGTGGCAGTGAATCCCATGTGTTAATCATTCTTATCCTTGCACACCTTCTTGCACACTGGTCCCACTCCCCACATCTCCAGCACATCTTGGCACATTGACCTGGATATGATCCCACCCACGCCTCCTTCCAAAGGACACACTGAGTCACCTAAACATCTGTGTTCCTTCCCCAGCACACCTGACTTTACACACACAGGTAACCAAGAATAGATAAGAATCTTCTGGCTCCTTACAGACCAATCAGCAGAAGTTTTCGTGGAATTTAAAAAAAAACAAAAAAACTGGTCAGACTTTCAGAGGAGCCAAGACTCATATTGACTCCTATTGCAACAGACCCAGAGGAGTGTTCCCAATATTGTGTTCCCTGTTGTCACATTTGGGAGGCAGGTTCCATCTTGCCCAGCCCGGTTAGCCAAGTTTACCCAGCCAGAAACAACTTTGCTTCAGTCCCCCTTTTGGCTTCCCTGAAAGTCATAGAATCATAGAGTTGGAAGGGACCTCCAGGGTGACCTGGTCCAACCCCCTGCACAATGAGGGAAATTCACAAATACCTCCTCCACCACACCTGCGGTGACTGCCCAGAAGATGACAAAAAACCTCCAAGATACCTGGCCAAAAATCACTTCCTGACCCCAAAGTGGCGATCAGCATTTCCCTGGGCATGTCAGAAAGGGCCACGAGGACTAAGCCCTGAGGCAACCCTTCCTGCCCTCCCTTCTCACGATCTGCCGAAGTTCACATAATCGGCACTGCTGTTAGATGGCCATCGAGCCTCTGTTTGAAAACCTCCAAAAGTCAGTGCAGCAGGAAGAAGATGACGACGAAGAAGAAAAAGAAGAGACTTATACCCCGCCCTTCACTACCCAAGGGAGTCTCAGAGCGGCTTACAAAAGCCTTTCCCTTCCCCTCCCCACAACAGACACCCTGTGAGGCGGGTGGGGCTGAGAGAGCTCTCTTGAGAACTGCTCTTGAGAGAAGAAGAGATTGGGTTTGTACCCCGCCCTTCACTACCCAAAGGAGTCTCAGAGCGGCTCGCAAACTCCTTTCCCTTCCCCTCTCCACAACAGACACCCTGTGAGGCGGGTGGGGCTGAGAGAGCTCTTTCAAGGACTGCTCTTGAGAGAAGAAGAGATTGGGTTTATACCCCGCCCTTCACTACCCAAAGGAGTCCCAGATCGGTTTACAAACTCCTTTCCCTTTCCCTCCCCACAACAGACACCCTGTGAGGCAGGTGGGGCTGAGAGAGCTCTCTTGAGGACTGCTCTTGAGAGAAGAAGAGATTGGATTTATACCCCGCCCTTCACTACCCAAAGGAGTCTCAGAGCGGTTTACCATCTCCTTTCCCTTCCCCTCCCCACAACAGACACCCTGTGAGATCGGTGGGGCTGAGAGAGCTCTTTCGAGGACTGCTCATGAGAGAACAGCTCTGAGAGAACTTGTGACTGACCCAAGGCCACACCAGCTGGCTGCATGTGGAGGAAGAAGAAGAGAAGAGATTGGATTTATACCCCGCCCTTCACTACCCAAAGGAGTCTCAGAGTGGCTTACAAACTCCTTCCCCTTCCCCTCCCCACAACAGACACCCTGTGAGGTCGGTGGGGCTGAGAGAGCTCTGACAGAAACTGCTCTTTTTCTAGAACAGCTGTGCCAGAACTATGGCTTGCCCAAGGTCATCCAGCAGGTGCAAGCGGAGGAGTCGGGGAACCAAACCCGGTTCTCCCAGATTAGAGTCCGTGCGCTTAACCACTACACCAAACTGGCTCCTAAGCCTTTTTATGCAGGCAAACCACTGGTCGAACAGGGTTGGCATTGTCTACTCTGACCGGCAGCACCTGTCCTGGGTCTCAGGTGGAGGTCATTCACTCAATACATCTAATTGGAGACACCAAGGATTGAACCTGGGACCTCCTGCACACAAAACAGAGGATTTGCTATTGCACATTAGGGCCCCTCGCTGCACAAGTCCAATGGCACCTTAAAGACTAATACCATCTATTCCCACAAATACTTTTGTAAGTCATAGTTCACTTCATGGTGAACTGGTTAAGAGCGTGGACTCTAATCTGGGAGAACCGGGTTTGATTCCCCATGCCTCCACATGCAACTGCTGGTGTGACCTTGGGTCAGTCACAAGTTCTTTCAGAGCTGTTCTCTCAAGAGCAGTCCTTGACAGAGCTCTCTCAGCCCCACCTACCTCACAGGGTGTCTGTGGTGGGGAGGGGAAGGGAAAGGAGCTTGTAAGCCGCTCTGAGACTCCTTTGGGTAGTGATGGGCAGGGTATAAATCCAATCTTCTCCCTCTCCTCCTCCTCTTCTACGTATCTATTGGTCTTTAGGCTGCCCTTTAAGGATTTCAAAGGAGGCTCATTCAATTTAATTCTGCAGCAGACTAAGATGGCTGCCCCTCTGGAATGATCAACAAGCGAGGCATAACAGATAGTGTGTTCTCCTGAGACCTGGATCCAAATTCCCCACTCTGCCGCTAAGCATTCTGGGTGACCTTGCAATAACCACACTCTCCTGTCCAGCCTCACAGGGAGTAAGCATGCCAGTATGGTGTAGTGGTTATGGTATTCGACCAGGATCTGGGAGAGGATAAGAGGAAAAGCTTGTACTTGGCAATGCAGAAGGTCCCAGGTTCAGTCCCCGGCATCTCCAGTTGAAAGGACCAGGTAGGAGGTGATGGGAAAGACCTCCGCCTGAGACCCTGGAGAGCCATGGAGAGGGGCTGTGCCTCAGTGGCAGAGCCTCTGCTCGGCATACAGAAGGTCCCAGGTTCAATCCCTGCCAGCATCTCCAGTTGAAAGGACCAGGCAGGAGGTGATGGGAAAGACCTCCGCCTGAGACCCTGGAGAGCGGCTGCCAGTCTGAGTAGACAATACTGACCTCGATGGACCAAGGGTCTGATTCAGTATAGGGCAGCTTCATGGGTTCGTACAGAAGAGGGGCCCTGGCTGAATGGAAGAGCCTCTGCTTGGCACGCAGAAGGTCCCAGGTTCAATCCCCGGCATCTCCAGTTAGAAAGGACCAGGCAGCAGGTGATGGGAAAGACCATCTACCCAAAGCCTAGAGACCCTGGAGAGACATAGACAGGGGCTGCGGCTCAGTGGCAGAGCATCTGCTTTGCACGCAGAAGGTCCCAGGTTCAGTCCCTGGTATCTCCAGTTAAAAGGACCAGGCAGCAGGTGATGGGAAAGACCTCAGCCTGAGACCCTGGAGAGTCATGAAGTGGGGCTGTAGCTCAGTGGCAGAGCATCTGCTTGGCAGGCAGAAGGTCCCAGGTTCAATCCCCGGCATCTCCAGTTAAAAGGACCAGGCAGTAGGTGATGGGAAAGACCTCCGCCTGAGACCCTGGAGAGCAGCTACCAGTCTGGGTAGACGATACCGACCTCGACGGACTGAGGGTCTGGTTCAGTATAAGGCAACTTCCTGTGAGAAGCTTGCTAGGGTGACCTTGGGTGAATCCACTTTAAGCCTCCCCTCATTCACAGGGAGTAAGTATGTTAGTGTAGTGTAGTGGTTAGAGTGACCGACTAGGATCTGGAAGATCTATGTTTGAATTCCCGCTCTACCATGGAAGCTCACTGGGTGACTGTCAGTGCCTTACACACCAGTTTGGTGTAGTGGTTAGTTTTGTGTCGTTATTAGGAACGCAGACTCTAATCTGGGAGAGCTGGGTTTGAGTCTCCACTCCTCCACGTGCAGCTGCTGGCATGACCTTGGGTCAGTCACAAGCTCTGTCAGAGCTGTTCTCTCAAGGGCAGTTCTCAAGAGAGCTCTCTCAGCCCCGCCTACCTCACAAGGTGTCTGTTGTGGGGAGGGGAAGGGAAAGGAGGGGGGAGCCGCTCTGAGACTCCGAGTGAAGGGCAGAGTATAAATCCAATCTCTTCTCTTCTTCTTCACCTTGGCCATCACTGCACTGGTAAACTCCACCAAATAATCAGTGACCCTGGTCCAGTCACACACGCCTAGGCTAGCCTATAGCCTACCTCAGAGGCTGGTTGTGAGGATTTTCGCAGGAGAGGGTAACGACGCAAGCCACTGTCGATCCCCATTGGGGAGGGAGGCAGGCAACGCTCCCTCTAAGCTGTGGAGTCTTGTGAGCAAAACTTCTACTTTGCGAACTCCTGGCATTAAAGCTGTGAGCGAGCGGTTTGACTACTGCATCAATTAGCTTGCTCTGGAGCCACCCTGCCTGAGCTCAGACAAAAATGTGCGAGCCGGAGGCTAAAAGACTGTGAGTTGGCTCCCACTCACTCAGCTTAGAGGGAACCCTGGAGGCAGAGTATTTTTGTTGTTCAGTCGCACAGTCGAGTCCGACTCTCCGCGACCCCATGGACCAGATCCTGCCAGGCCCTCCTGTTTTCCGCCGTCCTCTGAAGTTGGCTCAACTTCATGTTCGTTGCATCGATGACACTGTCCAACCATCTCATCCTTTGCCGTCCCCGTCTTCTTTGACCTTCAGTCAATTGACCTTCCATTCAGAGTATAATTACATTCAGGGCTCTTTTTGTAGCAGGAGCTCCTTTGCATATTAGGTGACACGCCCCCTAATGTAGCCAATCCTCCAAGAGCTTACAGAGCTCTTCTTACAGGGGCTACTGTAAGCTCTTGGGGGATTGGCTACATTAGGGGTGTGTCACCTAATATGCATTAATTATGTAATGGGGAATTATCAAATTATCAAATGGGGAAGGGAGACCAATGCTCAACGGTGGGACAGAAGCCGGGAGACCAATGCTCAACGGTGGGACAGAAGCCGGCAGGCAATGCCAACCTATCCAGAGTCACTCTCTCCGAAGGCCACCGAAATCCTACCTGCCCAGGTGTGCACCGCCCACAGGAGGAAGCCCCCCTCCCTTTCTGACAGCAGATCTTGGCACCTGGATCTCGGCCACCCCCCAAATCCTCACCTCACCAGCAGCTCCAGGAAAACCACGTTGCTGCAACACCCGCTGAAGACCAGCCCCAGAGCCAAAGCGGAGTGCATCCTGCCCGGGGTCCGCTGCACCCAAGCGCCGTGCAAAGCCGGTACAAGGAGCAACTTCTCTGCCTCCGCTTCCTGCTTCGGCGCCTCCGCCCGGCCCAGTCACCGCTGTAGTTCCCCGGCCTCCTTGCTTCCATGCATTGCTATGGCTCTTTGGCACCGCGAGGACTACGACTCCCAGAAGCCTCCCCGCCGCCGGCAGCTGCGGCCACGCGGCCGGCTCTCTTTGCACAATGGTCTCCCTCCAGGACGTGCTCCCCGGAGGGATTCTGGGAGTCGTAGTTCTAGAGCTTAGGTGGCCTTTCCCATGGGAATAAGGCCGGTTGCCAACAACAAACCGAGGGAGGGAAGGAGGGAGTTTGCAGCCGGGGGAGATGCAAGCCTCCAGGGGAGGAAGGAGACCACTTCCAGGAGGTGGTGTCGTTTCCCCGACTCCTCCCTTTAGCAGGTGTCAGACTTTGGGATCTTACTCTTTGATGTGCACAAAGTAAAGATGCCAGCCTCCAGGTGGGACCTGGGGATCCCCTGGAATTACAGCTCATCTCCAAGCTACAGAGATGAGTTGAGAAAGTGGATGCTTTGGAGGTGGTGGAGGAGATTGAAGAGAAGGAGAAGAAGAGATTGGATTCATACCCCGCCGCCCTTCACTACCCAAAGGTGTCTCAGACAGTGTTCCCTCTAAGCTGAGTTAGTGTGAGCTAGCTCACAGTTTTTTAGCCTCTGGCTCACACATTTTTGTCTCAGCTCAGGAAGGAGGGCTCCAGAGCAAACTAATTTAGGCAGTAGCCAAATCGCTCGCTCACAACTTTAATGCCAGCAGCTCACAAAGTAGAATTTTTGCTCACAAGACTCCACAGCTTAGAGGGAACATTGGTCTCAGAGCGGCTTAAAAACTCCTTTCCCTTCCCCTCCCCACAACTCTCGGTCTGGAGCAAGTGATGCTCTGTATTTTTGGTGCGGGGGGGGGGGGGCAACAGGGGGGGGGCTTCTAGGGCCCTGGCCTGCTGGACCTCCTGATGGCCCCTGGTATTTTTGGCCACCATGTGACAGAATGTTGGACTGGATGGTCCATTGGCCTGATCCAACATTGGTTTATCTTATGTTCTTATGAAGAATACTCAGGTTTAGTGGATAAATAGTCCAGGAAGGGGAACCGGATCGAGGTAGATTTCGAATCAAACGATTCTGTAGCCTTAGAAGGAAGAGAATCAGTAAGTTTGTCCATCAGACAGAAATCACAGACTTTATGTAGCCAGGCTGATAATGTCAAGTGAGTATTATTTTTCCTGGATTTTGCAATTAAAAGTATGGCGGCTGCGTAGGAGAATCAGTTCCATATGAAGCGGGGTGGTGGTGGTGGTGGTGAAGGGCTAAACTGCCATGTACCTAACAGTAAGGATTCTGTGTCAAGTGGTAGTTGGAAAGCAGTAATCCTAAAAGAGATCAACCCTGACTGTTCCCTGGAAGGCCAGATACTGAAGCTGAAGCTCAAATACTTTGGCCCCCAAATGAGAAGGGAGCACTCCCTGGAGAAGACCCTGATGCTGGGAAAGATGGAAGGTCAAAGAAGACGGGGACGGCAAAGGATGAGATGGTTAGACAGTGTCATAGATGCAACGAACATGAAGTTGAGCCAACTTCAGAGGACGGCGGAAGACAGAAGGACCTGGCGGGAGTTGGTCCATGGGGTCGCGAAGAGTCGGACTCAACTGTGCGACTGAACAACAACAACAAATGCTATAGATGTGATTAACTGTCAGTCGCAAAACAGCCTTGACATGCACACAGTCCCATCAACAGTGCCTATACGAAACAATTTCGCCACAACCCCTCCAGCACCGTGGGGATGTCGATGGGTGTATATGATGTAATTTTTGTGGCATGAGGCACCACCGAGATAACAATGTAAGAAATTGCATTTTGATGACCGTTCTCTTAGATTGAACAAGTGAGGAGCGGCAAATGGACTCCCAGTTTACGTGGGCGAAGGTTTTACTGCATATTGCATGTCAATAAACAGTATAAGATGGCAGCAGAGTATTAGACGGTTCCATAAACATGGAGTAAAGGATGGAAATAAGATGTTTATAAGAAGATCTAGGAGTTTTCGATAGAATTTCAAAGTTTGTTAAGGGTGTCGACAAATTCAGCTTAATAGAAGGTATGCGTGTTAGGTGAGCTAGTTCTAAAAACCGATACCATCGTGTGGTGCTGTTAATTTTGGGAGCTCAAGTAGATTTGTCCAAGACGAGGCCCGAGTTTGTAATATCAAGGAGCCTGAATAGATGATTTCGAAAAATAGAGAAAATATCAAAACCTATTGATATGTTGGCAAAGGCTTTCATGGCCGGAGTTCATTAGCTGTTGTAGATTTTTCGGGTTGTACGGCCATACGACCTGAAAAAATCTACAGCGTACTGATATGCTTTGCGTGGATCTAGTAGAACCCCGATAGCAAATCAATGGTAACAATTCTCCAACTGGTGACGTGAATAAGTGTGGATGTATAGCCAGGGGTCATTTCGTAGAAAAAGAGGTGCAGGAGCTCATTAGCATAACTCATTAGCATAACTTATTTGCATAGGCCACACCCCCTGACATCATCGGAAGTGTGTCAGAAGGCAACACCCACCGCTCAGGCTCCACTGGACTGTTTTGCATTGCTAGCTATGGGGGGGGGGGATGTGCAGATCTGTCCTCGCAGAGGAGGGAGAGCTTGTACCTGAATAAAACTTGGTCTTAAAGGTGCCACTGGACTGTTTTGGATTGCTAGCTATGGTTGGGGGGGGGGAACGTGTAGATCTGTCCTCACAGAGGAGGGAGAGCTTGTCCCTGAATAAAACTTGGCCTTAAAGGTGCCACTGGACTGTTTTGGATCGCTAGCTATGGGGGGGGGAGGAATGCGCAGATCTGCCCTCACAGAGGAGGGAGAGCTTGTACCTGAAGGCGGGCGGGGAGCTCTGCAACTTACCTGGTTGCTTCTTGCTCCTCGTGGCCTGACTGAGGGCTGCTGGGAGCGGGGGGCGGGGCTTGTTGCATGTGCCCACCCCCTGGGCTCCTTACTGCTGGAGCTCCGCTCCTGTGCGCTCCCGCAGGAAATGACCCCTGTGTATAGCTCACCTGAATGCATTTGTGCTGGCCAAGAGGACTGAGAATACTTGCTCAGATGGGCTATCCCCAGTCTGGGAACTTTTCTGTTTGCGTATGGGTTTCCAGGTCTCCCCTGGCCACCGGCGGGGGGTAGGGGGTAGGGTGGCCATCTCCAGGTTGGAAAACTCCTGGAGATTTGGGGATGGAGCCTGGGGAGGACAGGGACCTCAGTGGGGTACAATGCCACCGAGTCCACCTTCCAAAGTATCCACTTTCTCCAGGGGGAACTGATCTCTGTAGTCTGGAGATAAGCTGTAATTCCAGGGAATCCCCAGGTCCCACCTGGAGGCTGGCATCCCTAGTTTGAATTACTAAAATGCCTCCCGGTTTGTTGGCAGAGAAGAATGGGCAAAGTTGGCCTGTGGAGCGTTCTAGTCGGCCCGGGAACTTAATAAATGGGGATTCTTGGGGTGGCAGCCAGGTCAGAATGATTGATTCTGTTCGGCATGAATAGCCCCCCTCGCTTTGCGTTCGACCCTCCCACACTTCAAAGGGGCGCCTCTCTTAATAAATGTGTTGCCCCTCGGTCTGCGGTGGGCACGAAAAGGCCCGAGAACTAATTGCTTCTTTTGAACAGGCTCCCACGGAATTAAAAATCACCAAACCCAAGAGGGTGGTTTGCGGAAGCCCTTTATTCTATAAAGCGCTCTTCTCGGAGACAAACTAGATGTGACCACAGCGAGTCAGGTCGGGACCAGGAGGCCCAACCTGACTCGCTGTCACATGGAGGGCATGGGGCACTTACAGCCCCCAGTTCTTTCGTGTGACAATTGGATGGGTGCTAGGGTTGCTGGCCAGGGCCTACCGATCTTCCAGAATTACAACTGACAGAGAGAAGAAGAAGAGGAGGAGGTGGAGGAGGAGGAGATTGGATTTATACCTCGCCCTTCACTACCGAAAGGTGTCTCAGAGGGGCTTACAAACTCCTTTCCCTTCCCCTCCCCACCACAGACACCCCGTGAGCAGTGTTCCCTCTAAGCTGAGTTAGTGTGAGCTAGCTCACAGTTTTTTAGCCTCCGGCTCACACATTTTTGCCTTAGCTCAGGAAGGATGGCTCCAGAGCAAACGAATTCACGCAGTAGCCAAATCGCTCGCTCGCCACTTTAATGCCGGTAGCTCACAAAGTAGAATTTTTGCTCACAGGACTCCACAGCTTAGAGGGAGCATTGCCCGTGAGGTAGGTGGGGCCGATAGAGCTCTGACAGAAACTGCTCTTTTTCAAGGACAGCTCTTGTCAGAACTATGGCTTGCCCAAGGTCATCCAGCCAGGTGCAAGTGGAGGAGTGGGGGATCAAACCCGGCTCTCCCAGATTAGAGTCCGCGCACTTCACCACTCCACTACTTAACCTCTGGCCAGTTTGGTGTGGTGGTTAAGACTGGTGGAACATGTTCCCTATTGAAATCAGGGCCCTGCGGAATCGTACTCAATTCCGCCGGGCCTGCAAGACGGAGCTCTTCCGCCAGGCCTTTGGTTGCGGCAGCGGGCGTCCACATATGCCCCCCCCCCCAGGTTGCGGTCTCCCACCTACTGATAACCGGCCATACCTAGTTACATCCATGGGCCGGATTCTCCCTACGGCAAGCGTGACTATGGATTTAATGTGTTTTAAATGTTATTGTATTTATCGAAAAGCTGTGACCTGCCCTGAGCCCGTTTATGGGACGGGCGGGATATACATGCGAAAAAATTAATAAAGCGCAGACTCTCATCTGGGAGAACCGGGTTTGATTCCTCACTTCTCTACATGCGGCTGCTGGATGACCTTGGGCAAGCCGTAGTTCTGTCAGAGCTCTTCTCTCAGGAGCAGTCCTCAAAAGAGCTCTCCCCACATCGCCCTACCTCCCAGGGTGTC